ATTTTTTTTTTTTTTTAAAGAGAGAGGGAGAGGGAGAGAGAGAGAGATCGAACCCTGGCCGCACGCATGCCAGGCGAGCGCACTACCCCTTGAGCCACATCCCCAGCCCCGCCCCCCCCCCTTTTCTTTGAGACAGGATCTTATGTTGCCCAGGCCAGTCTCAAAACTCATGGGCTCAGGTGATCCTTCTACCTAAGCTTCCTGAGAAGCCAGAATAGGGGCATGCCATACCTCACTTATCTTTGTTTTTAAGTTGGAGTTTGTGTGTCTATGGGGGAAGGAAGTACCAAAGATGAAACCCAGGGACACTTCAACCATGTGCTGCATCCCAGCCCAACTTCTTTCTTTTTTTGAGACGACTTGTTAAATTGCTGAGGATGGCCTTGGTCTTCCTAGTCACTGGGATTACAGACATGTATCACCACCTTTGTACTTATTGTAACTAGTAATATTGGGATTTATTTTCAGCTATTCTTTGAGCTTTTATGTCTTGCCTTACCCCATCGCTTTCCCTTTCTTACCTTCTTTTGGAACCTTTTTCCTTATTATATGCTTTTTGTTCTACTTATCTAGAAATTTTATATTCTTTCTTTTGGTTCCTCAAAATTTTTAATATGCACACTTACTGAAGTCTATCTATCTATCCATATATATGATTTATATAATACTAATATGTGTAACATTATAATATACAATTCTTCCTCAAAGAACATAAGTAACTCACAATATTCCCTCATAATGTACATGCAATTGTTGTATATTTTACCTCCAGCTTTATTATTCTCAAAGTACATTTTTGGATTTAGTTTTATGAACATATGTAACACATTCTCTGCTCTTCATTCCTTCTGGCATCTCAGACTTTCCATTTGAAAACACTTCCCTTCTCTCTGAACTTAGAATTCATTTATTGATGGTCTGCTGGCAAATTCACTAAGCTGAATACGTATTTCATCCTTGTTCTTGTTAAGGACAAAAAACTGTTTTTACTGGGTATAAACATCTAGACTGCAAGTTTTTCTCCAGCATATTGAAAATAATTACCACTGGCTTTTGTGTATGTGTCAGATTATTATTGAAGACTAATCAGCTGTTATTCTTGTAGTGTTTCTTTGAAGGTTTGTTTTCCTCTTTTAAGATTTTACACAGCTGGGCACAATGGCACATACCTATCTGTAATCTCAGTGACTCAGGAGACTGAGGCAGGAGGATCACAAGTGCAGGGCCAGCAACTCAGTGAAAGCATGTTTCCAAATAAAAAAGGGCTTGGAGCATATATAGCTCAGTGGTAGAGTTCCCTGGGTCTGATCCCCAACACAAAATAAATAAATATAAACATAAAGAAAAGATTTTATATTTACTTTCTTGAAGTGTCTAGGGAGGATTTCTTTTCTTGTTTTCTCTTTTGGTACCAGGGATTGAACCCAGGGGCACTTAACAACTGAGCCACATCCCCATTTTGTATTTTATTTAGAGACAGGGTCTCACCGAGTTGCTTAGGGCCTCACTAAGTTGCTGAGGCTGGCTTTGAACCTGTGATCCTCTTGCCTCAGCTTTCCCAGCTGATGGATTATAGGCCTGAGCCACGGCACCTAGCTCTAGGGAGAATTTCTGCTTGGGTTAGTTGTGCTTCTTAAATCATAGCCTGGTGCATCTCTTTAATTCTGCCTCTCTTCCAACAGCTGCCCCTCTCCATTAATCTCTCGTTTTCTTTAGGAACTAAGTAAATGTATGGGCTTTTCTCTCCATGCTCCATGTTACTAAACTTTCTTCATATTTTTAATCTTTGAATTTCTATTTATGGTGTAGATAAATACTTCATTTCTATTTTTCAATGTACTAAATTCTTATGTGTTTTCATACTATTATCTAATTTCATAACATGAAATTTACTTTTTCAGAATGTCACCTTAGGAGGTAATATACTTATTTTGACAATTTTGCTGTCACTTAAACCATTTTTTAAATTCTTTTGGAAATTACCTTCTAGTCCACATATCCTTTCTTTTTAAATACTAAATCCCTTCTAATCTGGTCTCCATTAGATTCATAAACTTGATTCTTACATTCTATGTCATTCCTCCTCCCTGTATTATAAAGTCCTTGTAAATGGCAGTGGCTATCATACTTGAGATATGAGAAATCATCTTTCTTACTACAGATATGTCATTGTCTATAAAATTACTTCAGCTCCTACACAAATGTTGGGCACACTAGTAGATAAAGTAAAAATACTAAAAAAATTGAAACACTGAACTATTTCACCTTGACAAAGATAAAAAAGAATGGCAATAGCAGTGCTGGCAAGGGTATCCGGAGATAGGCACTTGCATATGTGTTTGATAGGAATGAGAACTGGTTCTTTCTTCAGACAACAATTTAACAATGTTTCAAAATTCCTTATAACTTTTGACTCATTCCAGGGACTTAGCTTTAAGGACATAAATTTAAATTATTTTTTGTTCACAAAGTTTTATTTAAACTTATGAAAAAATTAAATAATGCAGAAATATTAATGTGTTCACAAATTTTAGGAAAAAAGCAGGCTACAGAATAGTATGCTTACATGTTTATATTAAGCTAAATATACAAAGAAAAAATTTTCCTTGGAATCCATTCAGTCTCTAGAATAAGTGATGTTTACCTCATTTATTACCTAGGCTTTCTGCAACATACTGGCAATGAAAAATGACTGAATTATTTTAAGTATAGCAAAGTTCCTAACAGATTTTTTTTAATTTTTATACATTTATTAATTTTTATGTGGTGCTGAGGATTGAACCCAGTGCCTCACATGTGCAAGGCAAGTGCTCTACCACTGAGCCACAACCCCAGCTCCCCCAATCAGATTTTAAAAATTCTCTTGGAGGGATGGTGAATATGGCTCAGTGGTAAAGCCCATACCTTGGGTGTCCAAGCCTTGAGTTTGATTTCCAGCACCACAAAATAGATGAATAAATAAATTAACAATAAATGTGTGTATATATGTCTGTGTCTGGGAAAATGCAGTCTGGATTTAAATAAAAACTATGAATAATATATCCTTCATTCTAATATCCCTGGCAACTTAAATTCAATATTCATAACTCATTCTACCATTGCCTCCACCTAAAATTTCTCTCACAAAGAACAGAAACAGCTACTTCTCAAAGTCCTAAAAGTATAGGTAGGAAGTTAAGAGGAGAGGGGCCAGGATATAGAGAAGAGAGAAACCGAATGTTGACAAGGAACAGACCCTCAGTATTGGAATAGGTTAAGAACAGGACTTGTAGGAAGGAGAGAAGCTTCTCCTTTAACCAGTTTTCTCCCTTTCTCAGGCACATTCATTGCTACAAGCTCCACCCAACTGCTATGAGAAAACCCAGAGATCCCAGCACCAGGTGTGATAACCATGGCATTTACATGAGTGAAGTGGAATAGGACTTACCAGCTCAGAGTAATTCCTGATTCTGTTCTTTTGCATCTTCCTTAGTATACTGGAGGTCTTTCTTCAGAAAAGTTTTGCTTCATTGTTTCTCAGCTTTTCTAACATGATATACTGCCTCTCTTCTACCATTGGACCTTCAACATATCAGTTTTCATCTGAAATATTTCTACCCTCTCTCCAACCCCATCTTGACTCAAGATATTTACTCCTACTAATTTTTCTGAACTTGGTTCAAGTGTCAACTTTCTCTGGGAAATCTCAAACACCCTAGTCCACAACTAATTCCTTTGAGCCTTTATCCAATTTGTAGGTATACATTATGCATTATTAGTATAGTTATCTAACATCTAGTTGAACTGATGAAGTTCCAAGTTCAATAAAAGCAGTACCATTAACTAATTTTGCTCACCACTGCTAATCCTGTATTTAGAACATAACAAGTGCTCAAGAGGCATTTGTTAAAGGAGGGAATGACTAAATGAACAACTAAGATAATTAGCAACCCAGAGGTCTTGAAGTGGTAAGAATTATATTAACTACACACAATTATACATGGTGGAACTTTGTACAAATTTTTCCTTTCTTTGCTGTTAAACTTGAGAACTCACAAGACATAGTTTTAAATATATACAGCATATTATTTTGACAATTCCTAGAGCCCAAAAGTAAACCAAGACCAGATATTAAATATCTAATTAATCAAGAAGAAGGCTGGTTTCCCTTAGCAAAAGTAGGTAGTCCAGCCTGGGAACTTCACAAATAGCCTAAATCATGAGAGCTGCCTCTCTGAAATGGCTTAGTATTTCTTTTTATTTTTTTAATATTTTTTAGTTGTCAATGGACTTTTTTTTTTAAAGAGAGAGTGAGTGAGTGAGAGAGAGAGAGAGAGAGAGAGAGAGGGAGAGAGAGAGAACTTTTTAATATTTATTTTTTTTTAGTTCTCGGCGGACACAACATCTTTTGTTTGTATGTGGTGCTGAGGATCGAACCCGGGCGGCACGCATGCCAGGCGAGCGCGATACCGCTTGAGCCACATCCCCAGCCCTGGACCTTTATTTTATTTATTTATATGCTTGCCTCACACGCGCTAGGCAAGCGCTCTACCACTGAGCCACAACCCCAGCCCCTGGCTTAGTATTTCTTGAGCAAACGAATGCACACTTGTCTCTTTCTGGCTGGTTTAGGCACAGGGGTACAGAGATTCTATAGGCTCTCTACCCTTAACAAAAGCTTAGATGAGTGAAAAGCAAACCTCGGATGACAGCGAAAGAATGAGCATTTATTAAAGATGTATTTACTGAGCACCTATGGTGTACCAGAAAGCCCTAGTTCTGGGAATTTTTCCTTCAGTCTCCCGAGCCTGAAGAGAAGCATCCCAGGCCTGCCTACTTCAAAAGGCCAGGATGGGGGTTCCGTAACGACTACGCGCTTCTGAAAGTACCAGGGGGCAGAAAAGCCAGAGGCCGAAAAAAGGTCTCCAAAGCCCGGGCCGAGCGAGCGAGCTCTGGATGGCTGCGCATCCGGAGCAGAGCTGGCGGAGGTGGGGACCTACCCTCCGGGGGACCGCGCTTACCCGTCGGGCGAGTACTCGAGGTTGAAGACCGCTCCGTGGGTGCGGGTGCTGAGATACACCGAGTCCGCAGGGTGGATGGAACCATAGAGGTTAGTCATGGTGCGAAAATTGTCTCGCGCCGGGTCCACGAACAGCCCGCGGCCCAGGCTGCGTTCTCTCAGCCACCCGAACAGTCTGGCGCCAGGGCCGCCCAGGCCCGCGCTGACGCCGTGCCGACCCCGGCTCCCGGCCCTGCAGTCCTGCCCGGGACGTCGGCGTGACGGGGAAGGAGGTGAGGGCTCTCCCAGGGCGGAGGCGGCAGATGATTCCACAGTCCCCGGCGGCGATAGGTCTCCCGCCCGCGCGGCCGGGGGCAATGGGGGAGCGCCAAGGCGGCGAGGGCTCCGGGCGGCCGGCGGGGGAGGGGCCGCGTCAGTCCCGGGCTGCTGAGGCACGGGCGGGGCAGCGGGAGAGGGCGGCCTGGCGGTAGTCGTTTGTTCCCCGTGGGGCGCCGGCTCCTCAGCTCCGGCCGCCGCGTCTCCGCTGGGGCTCCGGGGCCCGAAAGAAAACATGACCAACACCCCCGCCCCCAGCTCCCAGCCGCTGTCCTGCCGGCCGACACCTCGGCGCTCCAGCTCTAGCCGACACTTCCGGGTGCGACGGCGTAAAGCTGCCGGCTGGGAAACCTGCCCCACCGCTTGGTTGCCCTCCACCGGGGACAAGGAAAGCGGGGACACTGCAGTGTTGCGGTTTTGCAACCCCGAAGGACAGCAGTCCTGAATGGCTAGCTGTTCGTGTGAGCCACTGAAGGTGCCAGGGACCCGGGTGGGTACTGACTGACTGAGGCTGGGAGTGGGTCTATAGATGTCAGTGAGCGGTTGATGTGTGTCTGACCAGTATTATGAAACTGGGCAGGATTATGTTACTATTGTCCCCACTATACACTGAGGGATGGATTACCGTATTAGGTGCAGGTCCCGTATGGTAAGCTGAATGGCATACTACCTGCTCAGCCTATAAGTATGAGGGCTCAGGTTAGTAAATTTTGCACTAAAAAGCCCTGTCTGCGCAGTTCCTGAAATTGTGGACTGTTGATGCCCTGAATATCTCTGCCCAATTGCCATCTATTGTCTAGTAGACCAAGTCTTTATCGACGCTCCTTCCTACAGGAAGGGGCACATATCCAGCCAGGAGGGACTGAGAGGCACTGGAGATCTGAATCAAATCAATCTCACAAGCAACAGAGCCCAGGGTCAGTCCTCCTTGTACTGCATCTGCCAGGGAGGTCATGGAACCGTGATGGAGGTGAGGCCTCCATCACTGTTGCTGAGGATAATATATAGAACTTGCTAACAGAAAAGGGTTAATAAGAGCTGGCAGTTTCTTGGGGGAGTGAAGCAAAGTCTTCAGTAAGGGAGAGGCTGAGGCACAAGGAAACACATTTATTTACTCTTCTTCTCTATCCAATGACAGATATTTTTTAAAAAAATTACTTTCCAACTGATGTCTCCTAATACAACATGACTGAAATGATAAACACTGTTTTGTTTTGTTTTTTCCCTTTTCAGGCTTTTATACTTTGGGAGCAGCACCTTCACTCTCGATGATCACTAGTTCTGCCCATAAAGTAGAATTCTTTGTTGGGAACGAGTTTGATAAAATGAGCAAGGCGATTGGCCATGGCATAAAAAGATGAAATGGCAGCTATGTCCCAGGCATCTTCTCTACTGAAGCCATATATCTCAAGCTTTTTGAAATGGTCATCTGTTATATCATCAGCTTGGGAAACAGCAAGTGCAAACTCCAGCATTGCTTTTTCCCCGAGCAGGAAGGTCAGACTTTCTCCAATTCACACAGACCTGCAAGAAAATATAGTCAGAAGCAGATTATCTTGTCTACTGCAAATAAATAATCGAACAAGGGCTTAATAAAATTGACATTGATGGTTAAAAAAAAAGTCCCTCAAGGTTAGAATAAAGGAGCAAAATCAGACTAAAACAAAGTTTTCTGAGAAAAGTAGAGCTCAAAGACTCTCTTTGACCTGCCCCCCACATCAATACCAAACAAAATATAATATTTGCAAAGAGTTTACATTTAGCAATTACTATAAATTAAGAATGTGCTCAGTGTTTTGTATTCATTATCTCATTTAATTCTTATAAAAACCCCAGACAGTTGTATTTTTATTATCATCCCCTTTTTATTGACAAACTGCAGTTCAAAGAGGTGAAGTGACTTTCCCAAGGTTATATGGCTAGAGCACAGTATAGCTGGGATTTCAAATACACTGGATTCCAAAGACAATACTAGGTAATCAATTCCCTTGCTAAAGCAAAATACTAGAAACCACTACAAACCTTAAAATAAAATAGTTTGGTGTTTTAGTCAGCTTTTTTGCCACTGTGATCAAAAGTCTTGGCAAAAGCTGTTAGAGGAGAAAAAATTTACTTGGGGTCTCATGGTTTCAGAGGTCTAAGCCCACAGATGGCCAACTCCATTGTTATGGGCCTAAGCTGAGTGTAGATATGGCAGAGAACAGCTCAGGACATGACAATCGGGAGGGAGGGAGGGAGGGAGGGAGGGAGAGGGAGAGAGAGAGAGAGAGAGAGAGAGACTGACTCTGTTTACTAGGGACAAATATATACCCCAAAGGCATGCCCTTAATAACCCAACTCCTCCAGCCACACCATCTACCTAGAGTTACCACTCAGTTAATCCCTCTCAGTGGATTAATGCACTGATTAGGTTAAGGCTCTCTTAAACCAATCATTTCACCTCTACTTTCTTGCACTGACTCACACATGTGCTTTTAGGGGACACCTCATATCTAAACTATAATATTCAGTAAACCATTGTGTGACAACACATTCTATGACCACTTGGGAGAGAGATCCTGGATGAGCAAAAGTTGGGTGTCGAGGCAGGATGCACTCAGCAGGGCAAAGGGGATGATCATGAAATCATTTTTAGGCCAGCAAGAGATACCTTTAGGGAATAGTTTACAAAGTCTCTATAGATCAGATCAGAAGAGAAGACTGGGGAATAGTGAAAATGATGAACCTCAACTCTGAGAATAAATGCAGAGAACAGATATTTCTGTTCTCCAGTCTTAAGGATCAGGGATTTCACTATAGGGTTCAGTAGGACTTTGTAATGAAATAAACATAGTAATGATACCCAAAGGGCATGACTTTGGACAAAGTAAGGACAGGATAAGTTGTTGACTGAAGAACTGATGGGCAAGAGCAGGTGGAGGCAGTTCCAGAATGAGAAGCAAACTGGCCAATGCCTGGGGTCAACAGTAAGAATTCAAAAGCCTAAAACATTGGTTTGGGCCCAGAAGGAATAATTAGTGGATGGACAAAATTCATACTGGAAGTGCAAACAGTATAATTAGCAGAAAGATGGCAAGTTTTGAAAAGAGACTCTTGCCACATTATAGTTATATATTCCATACTAAGTTAAATCTCTGAACCTTGAGTCTAAAATGGTTATAAGGCTTGCCTTGGACAGGTAGTTATGTGCATCTGATAGAATGTATGCCAAATAACCACCACTATGACTGATATTAATCTGGGGCATAGCTCTTCCTAATACTAAACATCACATACATGCAAAAGCAAGTGGGCACATAACAGGAACTGGAAGGGAATTCAAGCAATTAGAGATTTTGTTCCCTGCACCATATCATAACATGGGCTTTGTCCATTCCTCAGTTAGAAAGGCCCTGAAACTGGAACAGGAGAGGTAGGCACTAACCTGGTCAGAGAGCACTGGGTTCTTTGAGTAGACCCTGTACCAAGCACTATGGACAACCACATGGTATAAGCTCCTGTTGACCAGGCTGGTCACTACAATGATGAGTTCCTTATCTGCTCTGCTGAGCTGTCCTGGGGAGGAAGAGGAAAGAAGACCTGTTCATAATTCCTGGGCAATGGCTTAGAACCTAAACAGGTTTAGCTATATTTTAGCAACAGGCTCTGCCTACCCACCAATTTGCCTGCCATTCACTTATACATTTATTCATTCATTCATCTCTTGTCCCTAGCTACCAACTGACCTATTTTGTTTTTGTTTATTTATATGGTGGTACTGGAGATTGAACCCAAACCAGGATCTAGTGCATGTTACCAAGCACTTTACCAATTACCCACATCCTCAGCCCTTTTTGAATTTTATTTTGAGGCCCTAGGATGGCTTCAAACTTCTGATGCTTGGCTTTAGCCTCCTGACTACAGGCAGGCCACCATGCCTAGGCTATTTTACTTTCTTCACAGTATGTAGTACTTTCTGAAATCAACAGACTTCTTTCTTTCTTTCTTTTCTTTTTCTTCTCCTCCTCCTCCTCCCCTCCCCCACTTCCTCCTTCCATCTTCTTTAGTTGTTCACTATTCACTTTCTCCTCTTAAGAGTATGTTCAAGGGGCTGGGGTTATAGCTCAGTGGTAGAGCACTTACCTAGTATGAATGAAGCACAGAGTTCGATCCCAAGTACAACATAAAAATAAATACATAAAATAAAGGTATTTTGTCCACCTACAACTAAAAACTATATTTTTAAAAAGCAGTATGTTTGAGGGGCTGAAGATGTGGCTCAGTGGTAGAACGCTCACTTAGCCTGTGCACGACCCTGGGTTCGATCCCCAGCACCACATAAAAATAAATAAAATAAAGATATTGTGTCCAACTACAACTAAAAAATAAATATTAAAAAGGAGCATGTTTGAAATCCCATTTTTTCTCCCAGGCATGCCCATAATTATGATGATCTGGGAGGCTGAAGCAGGAGAACTGAAAGTTTGAGGCCAGCTTCAAAACTTAATGAGACTCTGTCTCCAACTAAAAATAAAAAGGGGTGGTGGGTTCAATCCCTAAAGAGAGGGAGGAAGAAAGGGAGGGAAGGAGGAAGGAAGGAAATCCATTTTTTTTAAATTTGTTTTTTAAAATAAAAATCATATCCTCAAAGAAATACCTGGCAGATAGTAGTTGCTCAGAAAATGTGTTAATAAAATACTAAATTCAAGAAATATTTTGTGAGGCCTATCAGGTACTAGGCTAACACTTAAAAGAGGAGGAAAGAAGTGGGTGTGGTGGCATAGGCCTGTGATTCCCAGCTATTCAGAAGGCTGAGGCAGGATTGCAAGTTCAAGGCCAGGATTGCAAGTTCAAGGCCCTGTCTCAAAATAAAAAGGGCTGGGGATGTAGCTCAGTGGCAGAACATATGCAAGGACCTGAGTTTAATCCCTAGTACTGTAAATAAGTAAATAAAGTAGAAGAAAAAAGAACAGACTTCCTAACTTCATGGAAGCTACTATTTGAGATAGGGATAGGCAGAAAAGGGGAGAACCCGCTTTGGTACCGGGCACAATTCTGGGAACTTTACATATGTAACCTCATTTACTCCTTACCTCAGCTCCTCAAGTGGGTATTATTAATGCCATTTTACTAGTAATGAAACTAAGGCTCTGAGGTGTTCAAATACTTTGCTGAAGTTGCTTGGATTATTTATGGCAGAACTCACATTTGAACACAGGATTGGTCTTTTTCTAGTAGGATAGAGAAGCTGCAGAAAGATATGATGAAAATAAAAGGCAGACAGGACTCTGTATGCCATTAGAAAAGGGCAAGGAGCGGGTTGTAGGCAATCGGACAAGGAATTCTTCCTTATACATGAAGGAAGGTGAGATGGACTTTGAAGGAAAAGTCAGATTCACAAAGGCATAAATAGGAGAAAAAGCATCCCAGGGGCATAGCAAAGTTAGAAGATCTAATGAGATCAAAATGCTGAAGGGGACAAAATGTAGCTCCCATTTTGACTTAGAACATAAAGAGGGACTGAGGGTAGGAAGCAGGCTGTGACAGACCAAAGAGAACCACCCCATAACTGCTGGCTGTCTTCCAGTATCTGCCTTCTTCCTTTAGTAACAGAATCTCTTCATTTAGCTGGGCACATGACCAATCAGCTTCCCTCATAGCTAGATGTGACAGTGAGACAAAGTTCTACCCAATGGGATAGAAACAGAAGTGATATATGCAACTCTTATGTCAGGACCTTAAAGAGAAAGGGCTTGTGCCCACCAGTGATGCTCCTTTCTGCTGGTACAGTGGTGATCCAGCTAAGCTTGTAGGCAAGGGCAGTCCCAAACTGTAAACAACACTTGCCAGCCCTTAGCAGCTTCTATAGACTATCAGGTGAGAGTGAACGAGTGAGAGAAAAAAAATATTATTTAAACCAAAGTCTTTGTCTCTGAGTAGCAGCAGCCTAATCTGAATCTAGTATCACATCCATGGTTGCCAGTTTATTTCAGTTATATATCTATAACCATAAAGCTGGATTCAGTCCTCACAGACTCAAAATCCAGAGTTGTCACAGAAGCCGAGGTTTTCCCTAATCTCATCAATCTGGAAGACATGGGAAGCGATGTTGGCAAACAGGCCACCTATATCTCAACCAAGAATGATTCAGCATTGTTTCTCTCTTTACCTGTTGTTTTGTTGTAGATGGCATTGTAATAAGCAAAGAAGGCTCGGAATTCCAATGGCTGGTAAGACAAAACTTTCAATATATTTGGTAAAAATCCTGTCTGCAGGGAAGAAAAGACAGGGTCACACAAAATGAAAACTAAGAGCAGAATAAACAGTAATCTGGTACTCCCCATATTGTCTGAATCCAGATGCACTCTTGGAAAGGTCATAGCCTTTTTATACATATCTTAACCTTTCAGGGTATTATAATTGTTATTTCTAAAGGTGTATAAAATGTCTTTTTGATACACAATCTGATGAAGTTCAGAGAGTGAATGTAACAAATAAAACAAATGAGACTTATTTGAATTTAGATTCTACTGTTTAGGTCCTACCTTTTACAGACGGGCTGGTGGCATTCATTATTTCTAAGAATTAAGTTAGTAACAAGCCCCAATATTAGTAAAGTATTTTGTAAGGTTCTTTCACATATCCAATCTCATTTATCCTCTAAACCTTGTAAGGTAGTCAAGGGAGATATTATTATCCCTGGTTTACAGATAAGGAAACCAAGGCCCAGAACTGAAGGCCATACCTTGGGATTTTGAGTTTTCAGATGGCATGCTATGGCAAACAACTGTCCATTTCTTCCCTCTTGACAACAGAACCTGGATGTTGTTCAGATATGAAGTTGTCATGGATTTCAGAACAGGTTA